TGAAAAACAATATTAACCATAATTAGCAAAGTTAGCAATGAATACCAATGGGGCATGGGGCATATGTGTGAATTTGCAGCGTGTTATATGCCTGTAAAAATATATTTAAAAAAATGCGGTATGTCGATCCATTATATGCCGTGTTTGTTAGTCATTTAGTAAATATTCTTGATAACTCAATCGATTTAAATGCGTAAAAAATGTCCATTGTGTTTCAGGAACATAATATTCGCGTGGGTGGTGACGGTACCCGCTGTGGCGGCCATTGCGGCACTCTCCATGCTTGCCCTCGAAGCATTTGTTGTTTAAAACACGTGTAATAAAAACCCTGTAGCTGGAATTTTAATAAACATATATATATTATTAACTTGATACTGAAAAAAACTTCTATGTGGTTTTATTTATATAAGGTTAATGTTGACTACATTGGGTTTGTCAGCGTCTGATATTTTGAAACAGTTAAATGGGTACTGGTAATTTTATTATATGAAGAAAATATTTAGGAAAGTAATTGGCCAAAATTTTTAGTACAAACCAGTTTGGCGAGCGGTTTAAGCGCGTGACTGGGTTTCGTATGAAAATATTACAGGCGTAGAAGTTTTCATACAAATATTATACGCGATATATTTGAAAAATACTGCAATAATTATTGTTAACGATACTAAAATTTAAGCAACTGATTTGATTTATCAAAACTATTTATTTAATAATTACGGTATTTCCATTTTACAGGGTTTTCACTATACAATAATTCAATAGTATCTTCTATATTATTATTTAAACAGCAGCAATAAGTCAATTTGTAACAATATTGATACGGGCGAGTACTGATTTTCAAACATCTTTTATTATGCGTGAACAAGTTAAGAATAATTTAGAAGTACCCATCGCTTTGATTGATTATTTAATAATGTCGCTAAAAATATCAAATTATTAATAAAAACGACTCTTGAAATAGTCTCTAGTTACAAGAGACTATAAGCCGATTTAACATTAAAAAAAAAAAATTACAATTACGGGATTAATAGAAGAGAATATAATTTAATAACAAAACATTCAAGTTGGTTTAACCAGTGTTGCAAACATTTATATCCTCGCTTAATTAACAGTACAGAAATATTTGAAATATTTCTCCGACCACACTGAGCTTTAAAAACAATGTCCTTTCGTGTGTTAAAAAACAGTACCAGCCCACGTCAATATCGCGTTTTTAGAATTTCCCGTAGCAACCCTTAGTAATCTCTGAAACGGAGCTTTATAAATTCAATTATGTAATCAATTTAAGTATTTTTAAGGCATTGTATTTGTTGTTACATGTCCATAGATCGATTAATACTATACTAAATTGATAAGAATTCATTTTAATTATAGATTTTCGAACACAAAGGTTTTCTAAGTTGTCATCGGCGTCGTGCGTATACGTTTGAAAAATGTATAAACGAAGATTGTACCTTAACTTGAAAATTACAACTTTTGATTTTACTAACATTTATAAAAAACAAAAACAAAATTGACATTGAACTACACTGATCAACCATATTATAGCTTATTTCATATATTTTGTGTGTGTTCGGGATCTAATGGTTTATCTATCCTATATACTTATATCTAGCTTTATATATATATATATAATATTATAATAATAGTGTATCTACAAAAATTTACAAATTTATTTTAAATTATACAACCGCCGGACGCGGTAATTGTCATATTATGGTCACAGACTGACATTTCCACAAATAATTTATAATAAACACTGTCCTTTTTTCATCCTCAAGGCTTGAAAGAAAAATGAAGCAGACGCTGAAAAAAATATTTCATTTTTTCTACTTAAAATTAAGTTAAATTTTTCACTCTGCGCCATATTACATACCCCGGACCAAAATTATATAAAATATGTTATTTTTATAGTTTAAACTTTCCGAATTCCGATACTATATTTCGAATTCTGTATAATTTGTGAGATTAAATGCCTACTATGTAGTTGAAAATTGTTGAATAAAAAAAATTAATCATGATTTTGTTTTATTTGATTTAAAATAAGAAATAATAAACATATGAAAAGAGCTAAATACCTGCTCTCAAACAGTTGTCTTAAATTTTCGAAAATAATTTTTGGTTATCGTTTTCATAATGATCTCAACTCAAATGATTCAAAACAGTAATCCAAATAATTTTTGGAGTTTTACGACGGTTTTTTGCCCTAATTAATGTGTTGTACGATAAGACTCACTTATTTCCGACACTCAATTGTAACAACATTCATTTTAAGCATACATTCCTGTGTACTAAACACTACGTTGGATTGAAGATCTCTCAAATAACAAGAGGCCCACATCGGGTAGCCATCGAATTCCTGTGTTTTAAATATGCCTGGAAACCATACCATAGCTACAAAGTACATTATCTTAAACACGATATGGATCTTGAGAATTCGATCACGTGTTTATACTTATGATTCTTGAGAATTAGTTGGTGGATTATTTCGTCTCTTAGTATGCAAACAGTGAATTGCATAACATCATACACATGCATCGGTCATCTTAAGTATATCTATAGTACCTAATACCTAAGTTCTAAGATTCGAAGTAGGTAACATAATTTTTACTATATTAATTTTCAAAATCATTTATTCATTTAGGTAACACAATGTACACTTATGAACGTCAATAAAGAAATACATATTAAATGCTTCTAATATTACTTCCAGTTCTCAAATCAAGGGCGTAGAACGGACGATAAGAACAGCCCTGCGATTCTGTAACTCACTTTTCGAACTCACACAGCGGTTTTCGCATCGGCGGTCGCTCTCAAATCAGTCGTGAAGCAGTCATTTTTATGATTTGGCATTCTGAAAAGGTGGGAGCTTGTAGTTTATTGTTTATACTGATTTGAGAGCGACCGCCGATGCGAAAACCGCTGTGTGAGTTCGAAAAGTGAGTTACAGAATCGCAGGGTTGGCATTAAACTCTCCGCCACTCTTTTTAATCGCCAAGTTTTTTGTTTTACAAAATGAATACCATGTTCTTGACACATGACATCTTTAAGTTATTAAAAGTTAATAATAAAAAACAAAGATTTATCATGTATCAGCAGTAGGCATGGTGAAAAAGGAGCACGTACTTACATTCTCGTGGGAACACGCAATAAAAACTACATAAATAAAATAATTAAACTACGGTTGCATGTGTTACTTTGATGTTTTAATAGGCAAGTAGGTGATCGGTCTTCTTTGCCTGGTATACGTTAGATTTTTAGTCTTAGCATTCCTGTTTCTTTACGTTCTTTGCCTAAAACGTACAAAGATTTTCATTGATAAAACTTACGACCTCAGGATCGAGAGTATGCTTAAACCACTCTACCAATACGTAATGTTACTTTAAATATTCGTGCATTTTTATAAAAGAATTTGTATGTACAACTTAAACAGAAAGGTCAAAATAAAGATTAAGATTATATAGCAATTTATTAAGAAAAGCTCAAAGAAGTTAAGAACCAAATTTTGAGTCTCCTTTACTAATTTTTTTAAACAGCCACTACGTAATTACAAGTAATTATTATTAATAATTTAAATGTTTGTTGCAGAAATTTAATAGTTTCTGCAATCTGAAAGGGTTATGTCAACAACCAGATTTCAATGTAATTTAAAATAATACCTAACTAATCTAATTAAAATATTAAATATCGCATTCTATTCTCTCAATCTCATATAAACTCGTAGCAGCGTATTTTTGATTGTCCATTGTGAGCTATCACTCAATGAAGCATTATTTCAGTAGAGTAGAGGCAAGCAATTTTGTAGCGTACGCTTAAAGATTGACCTTCATCTCAACTCAAGTCTCAAATCTCAAGACTCAAACGTATTGAGGATTTCGTTTGTTGTAGACTTGTTTTGTGTGAACTGCTTCATTTTTGGTTTGCTTCAGGGAATTACTAAGTTCAGTTTAATTAAGGTAAGACAACTGAATGTTTAATTAAACATTTCTTAACTATATCCTATCCTGCTCAATCTTAGGTTCAAAGATACTTTATTTCTCAAAGAATTATTTAAAAATACACTATATAAAATAAAAATATAGTTCTAATAAAAAAAAAAAAAAAAAAAAAGGGGGGGGGAAAAAAAAAAAGAATTAAAACTTTAACGATTGTTACAGACACAGATATAGAATATGGTTGTTTTTATTTTTGTTATTTTATAGGTATGTTGTTAATTATATGTACCTTTAAAAGTTTTTTAAATTTGTAAAAAGGTTTTATTTCTTCTAATCTGGGTGGCAATGTATTAAATATTTGTGTGCCTTGATACATAATATTAAGTTTTCCGTAATTAGTCCTTGGTTGTATTAAACATAATGTATCAATATTTCTTAATGAATATTTTGTATCTGATTTTTGTGCAAAGGATAGATTTGTATGAATTAATTTGTTAATAATTTTGAATATTATAATTGAGGTATTGTAAACGTATGTCTGGTTTATACTCATAAATTTGGTATCACTGTATAGTTTTTCAGTTGGAGTCAAATAATCGTCTTTTGTAATTCTTGTATTTCTTATTATTTTGTATTGAATCGCAATTCATGAATCCGTGAGATTAGTTTGTTTTATTTATATTTTATTTGTATTATTTTGGATTAAGGTTCTATAATTTTTTTTTATAAGATTAAGTTATGCACTTCTTGCGCTTTACTCATCATATTTCTTTTTTTAGTTTTTTCCTTACCAGGGTTGCCTGAAAGAGATCGCCTGTTAGCGATAACGCCACCCGTTGCATGCCTTAAATTTTTATGTATAATGTTATTTGTTTTTGTATAAATGTAACGAAGTGTGAATAAATAAATGCATATTTAATCTTAAAGAAAGAGGTTTACAAAGTATTTTTTGTGGTTAATTAAACGGGAAATATCTATGATTTCCAGATAGAACAGATTATAAATAAATAAGATGTATATTTTTAAAAGAAGTACTGATAGAACTTGCTTTATTTTCAGGTATAACTGATGAATTCCATCATGATGGATAAACAACATCTCTATGATGTGAAAGATGACAAAGAGGTATTTTTGCGCCCAATATGTATAAAAAGGAAAACAGTACTTACCTTTTCGTTTCGATTAAAATAAAACGGTATTGGTGTTTATGTTTTTAGGATATTACATTGGAGACAAATCGGCCACAACTTGTGGAGACCAAGGCTTCTTTTACGGTAATTAACTTATCGTTTATACCTACAAGTTTTACATCGGAATTCGGAACGAGTTTATGTTAGAATCATTTAAAACCCTTATGTGAAACCCTTAATTTTCTTTCTAGAAAATTTCCTCTCAAAAAACATTTGCAAAGAATATTGGAATTAACAGTAATTGATAACAATGCATGTAACTTATCCAATAAATCATTATTGTTTGAATTAAAACTTTAAATTTTAATTAGTACTATTAAGTACCCAAGACTTGTTTTTATCCCGTAATACGATTTCCGTGGATATATATAGTTTTATTCTATAAGCTTTGCATGCATACAGAATTATTTTTACAAGTTTTTGTGTGCTTTAGGCCGTCCTGCTCGGCCCAGAAACTTCCACAATAAATTGTCCTCATTGTGGTAGTACTGTGAAGACCAGGGTTCGTTATACAACTACTGCAAGGACTCATATAGCTGCTGCCATTTGTGCATTAATATGGTATTATTCTCTTTGTGTATTTTATATTATATTTTCAACCAAAAAATTTATATGAAGGAAAACCTTACTGACTTTAATATTACTATGTGTAATCATCTTTTAATACCCAGTAGATTTTTTTACATAATTTATGAAACTCTATGTCTAACATTAAACTGGATTACTCTTAAATTCCTTGTTTTATAAAAACAGAGATACATTTTTAAATTATTCAATCTTGGATATCACCGTGTCTTAAACTTGTTTCATGTAGGACAGTCAAAAATTCAATACTCTTGTAATTGATTTTGTTTGTACAAAAAATGGATAGAAAAATTATTTAATCGTGTAAAAAATGTACTGTTTCTTAATCTTTGCCATCGATTAGTCTGTTGATCTTAGAAAAGTCATACCAAGATAATCTTTTTGATTTAAGGTATAACATGTAATAATGTCGGCAGGTAAATAGGTCAATATTTCTAAATTAATAATGTTTATTTCCAATCTTTAGAAATGTTAACAATATGCAGTTTAAATTTGTTACGAGAATATACATTATTTTCTCTTCTTACTCGTTATCCTAACTTACTTCAGTACCATTGATCGAATCCCTTGGGGTAAATGCATCCTCCAGCTTTTTCCCGATTTCTCTATCCATGGCTTTCTTTATCCATTGCTTCTATCCACCTCTTTCTAGGGCACCCTCTTCTCCTTCTTCCCATTGCTCCTTTCCATATAGTCCATCTTTTATGTGCATCTTGCTATATGCCACGGCCATTCTCACTTTCGTTTTAAGGCATAAAGTAAGACGTCTAAAACTTTGGCTTTTCGTCTTACTTTTTAATTATCTGCCATTACTAAATGTTGTTTATATAATTTACAGCATCTCTATGAAAAATGTCACTCGATATATGTTTAGTGTGTATAATAAACTGAACAGAATCAGGTCAACCATGCTAATTTAACTGGGCTGTCTCAACATCTAAGTGCTGGTGGGCAGGCCACATAGCGCGCATGACAAGAGCCGATGGACTTGCAGGCTCCTTGAAGGAGCGGCCGCTGAATAGGTGGACTGACGTCATCGTCAATGAGGTTGGCTCTAAGTGGCTGCAGAGAGGATAGTCCAGGGCGTACTGGAGGAATACGGAGGAGGCCTACGTCCAGAAATGGAGCAAAAATGAGGATGATGACTAATTAAATTAAAGCAGGCGAAGTTGCGGGCACCAATTACCTCTATCATAATGTAATGTTTCGCAATTATATTTATTTTACAGTTGTTGCTGCTGCATCCCGTATTGTTCAAGCTCAGCAAAAAACACGGACCACTTCTGCCCTAATTGCTTCAAATACCTTGGCACTTACGAAAAATAAGGACTAAATTAAGAGCTACCAATGTGATAAGAATGAAATTTGTGCCCGAAACGTAACATTAGATATATATTTACTGAACCTTGCCTTTTTATTGTACTAATATAATGTAGATATTGAAATGTAATTAATGATTACTAACGTGAAACTGTTGTCTTTCCGTAACATTTGCTAAGAATATTATGTACCTAAGTTTTAACATACACATATATGTTCAATAAAGTAATACGTGAATTTTAACGTAATCTTTTATTCACACAGGGCAGAACGCGTTTAAACGATACAATTTTTATTATTCGTATGAACTGTGAGTCACGGAGTGTACGGTACTGTACTGTATTGTATTGTATTTTAAATGTAATAATTATATTACGTCTCCTTTTTATGGCAATAGTTTCCACTATTGCCATATAAAGGCACTGTAATTAATTACGGCAGCTGATGAAGAACATCCAAAACTTAAAGCTGACCTGCCATATCCTTTTAAAAATATTGTGCCCGGTATGTGAGGTGGTCTATTGTTAGTGTAGAAGATAAAATAAAATGCAATCCTGGTTAAAAAAACACTATCCGCATTGGTTGAAAGAAGTAACAAGGGCTGAAAATCTCATTTAGCATTCCTACGGATATGAACAACCATTATGGCAGCAATACGTTGAAGTGCTTAATCCCAAGACTTTTTTAATGAGCTACCAGATACGTTACAAACAGCCATCTAAAGGGAACGTTCTAATTTTAAAGAATTAAAACAATTTTACATAATGCATAACATAGCGACTCTAATGACTCATAATAGGAATTTTAAGTGAATAAACCAATGATGATGATTTTCTTTTATGTAAACAGTGACACACAAGAGCGAAACTTATCGTTTTATTTTGTATTTTTAAACAAAAACTATGCAACATCGAATCACCTCCTAACAACCAAAGTAATATGTAATGTAAGTATGTATATTAAAATTATTTTAAAATTAAAGCAGGTAGCTGAGGCTTTTTATAGGGCTAACGTTTACGAAGTATTTATTACTACTTGGAATTGATTTGACAGTGAACGAATAAGCTTACACAAACGTGAAATATTTTTTTTGTCAAATGATCATCAGTGAGGGTTTTCAGTTTCTGTACCACGCGGTCTTAAGTTTGCGACATTCTACGGTTTTTGGAATAACTATATCTATCTGCGTCTCCCGAACTCAAAAACTGTATTGGATTTTGACATACAGAAGTCATAGTCCATGTAAAGTCTCGTTTCTGAACCTTAAAGCCCTTAAAAAAGACATTCAGAAATCATTGCTAGTCATTTATCAATTATGTCCTTGAAACTACTTAGAAAATTTATTTCTATTTCTAACAGTTAAGTAAGTTAACTTTAAGTTCTTTTGTTTTTGTTAATTATATTAAAAAAACAATGATTAATAAAAAGCTCAAATTGAAATATTTGCGTTTACCGAATTTCCACCCGATGTTCGTTGTTCCAACTTCCACAACTGAGCGTTATTTTAGTCAGTTTTTGCCGCTCACCACCACTGTGTGGAATCAGCTGCCCATTGAAGTATTTCCGAATAAATTCGATTTAAAGTCCTTCAAGAAACGAACGTACCAATTCTTAGGCCGACAATGCATATGTATGGGCGGCAGTATCACTTAACATAAGGTGAGCCTCCTGCCAGTTTTCCCCCTGTTATACACAAAAAATATATATAGTAATTTCAAACAATTTTTAAGCAAATTATTTTATTAAAAGGGTTTTGCTCAGCACGTACATATAATATGCTGATCGTGTATTTATATACTGAGAACTCAGACTAAACAACTTTGTAATTTTATCTGAGATGTATCGAGTGTTTTGTTGTTAGAAATAAATGTAAATGTCAGTAAGGTTATTCAATAAACTAGAACTAATATAACATTAAGCGAAGACACGAAATTCCATAATGGGCCTGACATATATTTGCGTCCGTTTGTTTTATTGACAATCGTCGTTGATTTTGGGTCAAACTCTAAGATTCATAATAGAGACTTATAGGCCGGGAGATAGTGACACAAAATAGTGGGTCATTTGTACCAGTATGGCGGTTCTTCAGGGGTCTTATTACGAAATTAAAAAAAGAAAAATGATAGTCATAGCGCTGGTACCGGCGGCCCAAGCGCGTGGGTGTTAGTCGAACTCGTCGGATTAATTACGACTTTCAAACGATTTGTTCCACAAAAATTCTAGTTTTTTCCGATAGTCCACAAAAAAATAGGCGGCAGTGTCATGCCATACTTCTCCGGTGTGACTTACAGCCCGCCATACCGACGCGAATGCGTTGATTTAAAAAAACCAGGCTAATTTTTGCACAGTTAATCATCGTCGTGCAGCCATTTACGAAAATCACCATGCCATACTTTTCGGACGGTTCCAAATGGCCGCCAAAAATGATTTGGATTCTTGGAAAGTATTTGATAAAATGCTCAGTAGAGAAAATGCTGGGTAGAGTTGCATTCAAAACTACTGGATCACAAGACAAATATATCTACATTTAAAAATACTAATAAATAAAATGAAGATAATGTTCCTGACAGTCCAAATAAATATTTTATTTCGTATCATACTGTGTTTTTCTTCTGTGTTTTAAGTACGATACACGTATTCCATTAACATAATTTTAAATGTGAAATTATTGTCAATTAAATAGTCGTAAAACGCTTTATGAAAATCAGTGATGTTGAACACCATTCACAATGTGAATGTCGTCATAACTATTCCCCGGGTGTAAAATAGACCTTTCCTAAATCAACTATATGAAAACCAACATATACTATATTACTATAAATTAATAACATGAAAAGTAATATAACGAATCCTTTGACTTGACGTAAACACACAAATAATTAGTTTTTTTAACATAATATTCATATAGAAAAACATTTAAGCGTTTTCAGTTAAGCTAATAATAACGCAACCGCATAAGTTGTAAATATTATGTTGTAGCACATTACCAATTCTTCGACATGCGAGTGGCTTATTCACAAATATTCGAAGACGAAAAAAAATTTTAGGCCCACGGTCCTCAACAGAATATCAAACCCGTATAATATACTATGACGAATAATTTTTTAGTTTTCCTTAGAGTTTTCCCTGTGTTATCATTGTCCAAAATAACTGAAACCATAAATTATATCATAATTATATTTATTGCAAAAGAGTATAGATGTTTTCGGACCAATTTTATATTTAAATAAGTTATTAGGAATAATTAAAAACAAGTGCGCTTCACGGGTAAGAAAATTATGTTAGCCGTTGCTTTATTTTTTTTTAAAGAAAAGTTTTTGATATAACGATTAACGACTAAGATATAATAATTTGTGTAATGATCATGCATGCAATTATTCGTTGCATTACAAACTCTTCAAAAACCGTTAATACGACACTCTTTTTGCTAAAAAGCGATCTGTTCTTGCTATAAACATAAAAAAATATTTTAATTACTTTGTAGTTAATTGTCAAACGTACGGTCAATATTGTCTACTAAGGGTATTTTCAATACCCACTTATAATTTTAACCCAACATTTACTTATGTTGTTAAGACCAACAAATGTACTTCTAATTATAGCTCATTAGAGCCACCCGGCACCCGACCAGCGCCGCCTCGTCGTTAGGTGTCAACTCGTTGTCCACGGGTGACGACGCGTTGTTACTTGTGAGCTTCGCGAGATCGCCAATGCACCGGCGAACCGGTCGATAGACTGGACTGTTAGCATTGCCAATAGGTCTACACGTGTTTTTCTAATGTCAAATTTTACAAACTTGAATTGCACTCATAGCTGTCGCGCTTATTGAAGAAGAAAATGAAGAGCAACATACGCGTCGTGGGCCCTAGCGTGGTACATTCGTCGGCAGCGCGGGGCGCGGTCCATGCCACAGGCTAGCGATAGCGAGTCGTCACCGAGTGGACACCCTCCGTCCGCGCGTGGCCAGATGTGCGAGGAGCGATCCGGGTGGTCGACACGGCGTTGATGTAATGAGCGCTTATTCATAGGAAGTCCACAAAGAATACTAACCTCTCGGGGGGGGGGGGGGGGGGGGGGGGGGGGGGGGGGGGGTGTAAGGAGCTATGACCTTATATACTAGCTGAGCTTATCTGCCAACCTCGATAGATGGACTATCAGGACATAATGATTTCTTTTAATTTAATCCAATAGTTTCTGAAATGTCGACGCATCAATGGAATGCAACAGCACCTTCGCCCCCATCTTATCCGGAGGTACATAATATATCTATGTAAAAGAACGTTCTATCGTGTAATCTATAAAGCTTTATTGCATTGTATAGATCTAGCAATTGATTATTTTCTTTGTACGTAGTTTTTCAGTTGTTTAGCCTTTTTATATCTACCAATAGTCCGTGTAGACTATAATATTGAATGATATAAAAAAGGGGTATGGATAATTCATCATCAGTTTCATTAATTGAATACCAAATTATAATTTTCTAGCTCACTAAATTTGATAAAAATAGAGGAGTTTTAATGGAAGAATTGTGGTAGTACATGATTCCAAGGGGAAAGGACAATTGTTTCGAAAGGATACGTTAATATTGCTCACAGTTAAAAAATGTAAAGATTAAAACAAATAAATCAAATTAAATGTATTAATTGTAACCTCGTTTGTTGTCCTTCCAATGGGCCAACACATTTCTACGTCAGCCTACTATGCTTAATAATCCGAAATAATTATAGTTTCGTCAGGAATTGAACCGAAACACACCGTTTTATTTTAGACTATACAGTCCAGTGCTAATATGTCTGGAGCGAATGCAAGAAATCGGATCGTCCACCCTGCACCTGTGGTAATAACAAAGTTAAATATTCTAAAGTCGTATACACATAAATAAAATTTACAGTGCTATGTGTCAAAGCCCTAGCGTCAGTGTTATTTAGTGAAAATTCATTGAATGTATTTGTCATGAAAACGGCAAGTCGTTTTGATGTGGATACTTCTACCATAAGGGCGCAATCCAAAGAATCTAATGATAACAAAATTGGGCGATACAGTTTGGCGTTGTAGTAACGAATTTATCCTCAACATCAAATTAAATTATATAACTAGATAGATAAAAGACCAAAGAACTCATTACAATAATCCAGTAGGTACAGTGATGCATCCAGCATCGTGTGCGGTGAATAGGAAAACGCCGCCATTTTGAGGTTATTTGCAATTATGTAGTATAAATTATAACTTGGAAAAGCTACGATATTTGTTTCATGTACACACAGCACACGGCCGTGTCCGCATTTTCGTAATAACGTACGAGCAATTTATACGATTGTATTCATTTTAATACGAATATTTTTTTCCAGCATATCCCACCACTGGGTCCAAAAAGGTGCAATATCAAATGCCCCTTTTGCAATATTCAGGTGATCACGTCTATATCTCATACTACAACTACTAGAACTCATTTTTTCGCGTTTAGCAGGTAAACTTCTTTTTTTATTTTCTTTTAGCGATATGAATTAGGTCTGAAACTATCCCTTAAAGACGTAAGTTGAGGTGCAAATGTTTTTGCCGACCTTTGCATCATTCATCATCATTTGCATATCGGAAACAAACATTTAAGTACATCACTTTAATAGAAACAGAAAAAGACAAATAATATATAAAGTAAGAGTATATCAATATGAAGTTGACAGCAGACAGGAAGGCATAGTGAATTTAAATTATTAATAATTGTTTCTTAAATGAAACAGTAGATGATAACATGTCGACATCAGCGATGGCATCGAGTAAAGTACACATTCTGTAGAGATGCGCGGAAACCAATATTATTAATAAATTTTCAGACGTTGTTTGTGTTTTTAAGGTTTTGGGTGATGATGAAAAAGTTTACGATAATTGGTTTTACAATCTCGTTCAGGGCAATGTTCTGGTAACGTGGACCAAACGAATGTTGCTACGTACCTACTGTAAATGATGCGCATTTTTAATTTTTTAGGTCTAGGAATATTAACTAATTTATCAATCAACGCAAACTAATATCAATAAATAAAGGTTTTTAAACTGATTTACTGGATATTTGAGCTTTAATATATACTATTACAAACCCTATATATACTTGTTATTTTTACAGCATTCTTTGCTGTTGCTGTGTACCGTACTGCATGAATTCAACAAGAAACACCGATCATTACTGTACATCTTGCCACGCATTTCTTGGTACCTACAAAAAGTAGCTACATACAATATATTTATCATTCAATTTGGCTAATAAGTCACTTAGTGTATGCTTATATCTTGATACTGTAAAATATATTGTTTTAAAATTTCACAATTAGTTTCATTTTTTGCCTACTGATGAATATGTTTGAAAGTACTCCTCAAAGGGGATGTACAACCTTTACAAGTAAAGAAGCCTTTAGAGTTTAGACCCTTAAAGAGACAGTACACATGTCTGTTTAATTGATTATGTTTTATAAGGATCTTCAAATATTTATATTCTGGAAGCTCCGTGGAGCGGATGTTTTGGTTTTACACAGAGTGTTGTAGCCTTTATAAATACGAAGCCATAGAGAAATGGCATACACCTGGCGAGTTGATACGAGGATTCGAAAGCGTAATTTGTAAATATAATTCCACTCATAGATTAGAAGATAATTTTAAAAGGTAAGATGTACCCACTGTGTACTAACATTGATTACTTACTATATTATCATATAATTATTATAAACGATTACATATTATTGCGAGTTATTACCGTGTCGCTATATATTAACAATCCTTACAAGTATAACCAATGGTCAATTAATGATCTGACTGCCCATTATGATAATAATCGATGACGCTTTTGTAGGAATAATGCTAACCTTTAAACACAGTTTTTTCTTTATTAGACTACTTGTCAATCCACGGACGCCTACTTGGAAGAATATAGAAAATGAAATGAAATCAGTGGCGCTACAACCTCTTTAGGTAGGGCCTCAGATTTCTGAATCTGTTTTATGATCATTTTTTAAGCTAATAGGCAAATAGGTGATCAGTGCCTGACACACGCCGTCGACTTTTTGGGTCTAAGACATGTCAGTTTCCTTCACTGTTCATGTACTTTACATTGGTGCACAGCCGGGGATCGAACCTACGACCTCAGGTATGAGAGTCACACGCTGAAGACACTAGACCAACACTGCTCATATAAGAATGGAAGTATATAGAGAATGTGATATTTTTTTTGGTATCTAAAATCTAATTATTTTTCTTTTAAGGATATATGTTGTTATTTTCATATACAGTCGAAAGGGTTTTACGTGTGTTGAAGTCACTAACAATTTGCCAGGAAAAATCTTTGGTTTAGCCGTTTACATGGCAGGTTTCTGTTTCTAGTACGATTAATTCGCAATAGACAAAAAATAAGAATAGATAAACTTTTCATATCGGCGACCAGAAAAATGCGCGACGTCACGCGCTTATCTACTCATACTACAAATTTGTACCTTAATCATGAAATAATAGGCGTGAATATGCTAAGCCCTAAGGTGTAAAAGATGACTCTTTGCCAATGTTTCTTTAACATTTAGTAGCTACTCATTAACAAAGAAAACTTTTTGTTCATACAAACTTCGTGGAATTGACATGTACCGTAACGAAAATTATTAGCATTGTTTGACCACAACGCTATCACCAAAATGGTTTTGACGTAATTCAAATTCAATTACGCGATAATATAAAAAAAAACATTCGCGCATATGTGGAACCAGCTGCACGTCGTAATTATTCCAAAAAAAATTCCATCAAGAAAAGAACGTAAATATTGTTAATAGGCCGGCGACGTACTCGCAAAACTTCTGGTGAAGCCTCTAGCCACCTTTTCTAAAAAATCTCGGTGATATGTGAGAGTACATAGAAATAAAAAACCATAGATACTATAAAGGTTTTATTTAAGCAACATATTGATTCGTAAGTGCCCTTAGCAGTCTGGCCCGCCTGATAGCTGCGGCTTCTCTTTGAATATCTTCACTATTATTAGCGTTAAGTTCTAAAGCCCCAGCGGGGGGTTTGGTGGGGGGGGTTTTGGCCCTCCTTCGCCACGCCGATTATGTAGGGCAACGGCAACTTCTAGAAGCGTGCCATCCCATAAACAGCCGTAGTAACCGTCCATTGCATCCGCGGCGTTGCTGCTCTGAAAGTGTTAAGTTTACCATAGACTAAATAAAATAACGAATGGATTCAGAGACAAACCTAAAGCTGGAATTCTGCCTCCTTCGAACCCCCCGCCCCAAGGGGGGGGAATCAAACATCAACATGACCGATTATGTCAAAGGTGCGCGCTTACACGAGGCAACAATTGCTCGGCGAGACGAATGGACCATCTGGAGCAATTAATGGAGCAATTTCTCATTCATAAATTGCAATAAATTATTTCGGCCGTATTGTTTCTTAGGGGGGCCCCCCCCCGGCAACAAAACGTCAATTGCAAGTCAAACTCGTCAATTATGACGTTACGACTGCATCTGCAATTTACGGCAACGTTTACACATAGACTAAATAACAATATTGAGCGATACGCAACTTCATAACTCGCATTCATAGACAAACCTCAGTCTAGGGCGGCGGGGGTGGCTAAAGCTGGCATTTTTTTTAATAATCAACAAAAAAGAAAGAAAAGGATAGGCTTCTGGGTGCGATCGTTTTTGGCAAAGAGGACAAAATTATTATGTAAAGAATTAGAAATATATTCAAAAACTTTACTAGAATGTCACTAACAGACTTTGGAGTAAAGCAGAAACTTTTTGAAAAAGTTAGCCCATTTATTAAGAAACAGAGACCAAAAGAGACCAATTTCTGCATCAACAAAACTGTTTTTAACCCTTCGATTTCTGAACGAGCTCTTAATTTAGAATCTGATAGTTGTATTGCAGTATTTTTGGTCCCCCCGGTTGGGGGGCCATTGCAGAAGTTCTATATATTTAATCTCTATTTTAATTTAAAAGTGACTATTTATTTATTTAAATTAAAAAATAATTGTTTTAATCAACCTTTTATTTATTTAAATTCACAATTAAGTAGATTTTTAATTCAAATAAATCAATCAGTAGTAATGTACTCCACGGCAGTAGTATTTCAAAAATGCAGTCAAAACAAAAAAAAAAAATAAATTTACGAGGAAACAGTTCAGTTTTCCAATGTTACGCTGAATGCTAGTTAATTAGCGCACTGAAATTATTACGGACATTTGTCCTCGGCTTTGCAAAATTCCAAATGAATCAATTAAAAATAGACATAAAATAATCAAGCTGTTGGCTATGTTTGACTAGACGGTAAAAAAAAAGGAACACCGTTGTGTGAACCAAAACAGAATGAAGTTGTAATTTATAAATAATTATAAAATATATTATTTAATTATTTATAAATTACAACTTAACTTAAATTTTATTTTAATTTATTATTTTTAATTCATTTATAACACACAAACGAGGCTGACTACGCGCTGGACTCTTGCCGCGCGCTACTTTTTCCACCCGACCTCTCCCCAGCAAGTCGGGAAGCCGCAACACAAACAATGCGAATAGAAATGATCGCTAGATTTCCAGTCCATTGCTCGATTCGTCAATTCGTATCTGCGACATTGAGCGATATGAAATATCTGGAGCAATTAGAAGCAATATCGCCGAAATAAGTTTTGAAATTTATTGAATTTCTTGAATCTCCAAGTCCATCGTGTTGCCGAGCAATTATTGCCCTCGTGTAGCGCACTTAACTCCGAATTTCTCGCTCAATTTGCAGATACGAATTGACGAAATATGGACTTGGAAATTCCTAGCAAATTTGTATAGTCTCATTCGCACTTGTTTGTTTTTGCCGTCTTGACTTCCGCCGGGAGAGCGAGAGGTCTAAATAATAATAATTTCTAATTACTTTTTCAAAAGTAATTCAAAGTCTGTTCGTGACATTCTAGTAAAGTTTTTGAAAAATATCACTAATTCTTTACATAATGAAAATTTTTCCTTTTGCCAAAAACGATCCACCCAGTCGCCTATTCCTTTTCTTTCTTTTTGTTTTTGATTAATATAAAAGCGCGTAAAAGCCGCCGCAGCAAGAACAAGGTCCATAGAGAGCGAAAACTGAAATGCTCGGTGACAGTATTGCCTAGTTGATGAGTGCGCCATCGCTCAATATTGTTTGCGCAGTATTGATGTTGTTGCCTTGGTAAATTTAAGCATATTGACGAGTATTGACTGGAATTGAGCAATTTTAGTGCCCGTAGAAGAACTAAGCGCACCTTAAGCACTATTTATAAGACGATTTGGTCTCGTCTCTGAATCTCCTAATACGTTTTTGACAGACGGGAGTCACACTTAGCGCTAAGTCTCGCCTCTGAATCTCCTAGTACGTTTTTGACAGACGGGAGTCACACTTAGCACTAAGTCTGGTCTCTGAATCTCACTCGTCCCTTATCTCCCATTTGGAATTCGGAAAAAATTATGTCACGTACTATGAATTAATTTTTGTGGTTAATAATAACAATTTATTTGCAGGAATATGGTACATAAATGTTATGATGGTTGTTACATATCCATTGAACTCCCTTTGCCCCGCATAACCAATACCTGTACCCCTTTGACGCAACACCATTATAAAAGGAATTGGATAACAGATACCAATAGCCTTGATCGGATAACTCACATCGGACCGCTCAAATTCTCAATTAAGCCCATAATATAGATTATTTATTTAGACCTCACATCGGACTGATGATTAAATAGTCATATTTAGTTAAGTCTCAATTATTGTATTAGTAATTAATTAAAGTAATTTAAATACATTTTGGTTTTTTTGGGATTTACCGCTGGCCCTCACCTAATTTGGTACATACTAAAGTTTAGCATATTTTGCCCTTAATGGAATTTCCCATGGAAGTTACATACATTATGAGTCATATCATTATACTCAATTCTTGTATATTATTTGGAGTGATAAAATATCACATTTTTAAAATATATTATTACGTTATCAAATTAATATTAATTGTAATGTTTCACGCAAATAATCATTAATAGAATAATATTTTTGAAGTGAAACTTCTTTATCGGGGTTGGAAAAGCATTTAGTGTAACATTTTTGCGTTACGCGTCACATTTTTCCGTTACGCGCCATGTTGCTTTTTGAAGTCAAACTTCTTTATCGGCGTTAAAATATGACATATAGTATGTTTTTGACTTTGAAGTTTGACAACGGATTA